AAAGTATTGTCCTAGTGGATTATGTACAATTCAGCGCGAGCGCCATCGTTGGATCCGTATAGGACAATACTTTGGGCCACAAGACAACAATCAGGTATTTTAACCTTTTATTTATTTGTAGCTACATGCTGAGGTATTGAAAAAAGTGCGAAATACTAACTAGGGTGTCTACTGCCATCTGATTTAGAAATTCCACTCCTCTACACAGTAAGTACTGTAATGAAATATTCTAATATCACTTAGCCTATTACCATTGACTTTATAAAGTCAATGCTATTACTAATGTTCAATATTTATTTGTTTCTCAATAAAAGAAAAATATCTACGTCACATATATTGCGATCGCTTTTAAACAAAATCATTTATGTTTTATATTATTATTTTTTACATATGAGGGCATCCCGACTCCTATAATAGCCAGTTGTTCCTCCAAATTTTTTTTCTTTCACAAATTACTGATACATAAGTAACAGATAAATAACAGATAATCATAAATCTTTGAAAAGAACAGTCATTTTGTGAAATATTTTGAATGTTTGGATAAAACTGCAAACCTGATAAGTATGTCTTAAATTTGAACATAAATGGTGATCTAAATTTAGTTTGCAAACATTACCAAGATTTGTTTTAACAAATTTTATTAAAAACATCATTGTATTTTCCCGATTCAATGACATGTCAGTAAAAGTGTATTATTCATTTCATAATTCAATGAGTAATCCAGTAACTTAAAACTTTAGTATAAAATGAACTTAAGTGCAAGTTAAGTTCACAACCTTTTTATGCAATATCAGTAAACACTCTGTATACTGTAAATATAATAATTTATCACGTCATCCTATTGTTTTGGGACTCGTCGACCGCGAGCAGCGGCTCGGCCGGTAGCCCACGTGGCTTTTGCCAACCTTATAACGAAAGTTCCCCGTTAAATCCCTGCTGTTAAACGACGGTCAGCGTTGGTCTCGGCTAAGCTTGATCTCGGCTAACGCTCTATGTTGTGAACCCATTTTTTGGCCGTCGGTTAAAATTGGCCGAGAACAACGATAACAGCGGGCCACGAAACCCCGTACTCGTGAACCGCCTCCAAGTGTCTCAGGTGACTCGTTGAACAGCATCTGACACTGAGTACTGAGCAAATAACTGCATACATATAAAGACTCGCGATTGCGAGTTTATAAAAGTGAACGAACATTTGCTATTCGAAAAACGAAAAGTTGAACGGAATATGACACATGTGTGTAGACGTCTACTCGTTAATCGGTGAATAGCAAGACAACTACAATACTTCGTGCTTGGCGAAAGTTAATCCGGGGTGGGGGGAAACGCTGCTGTGGGCGGAGACTTTGGGCACCGACGCCATGTTGTTACCCCTCGATCCCTCCTGTTGCTCCTCCCCTTTAAGAAGGGGGAATGTTCTATTGTTCGGCAGATTACGACTTTTAATGCATTCTTTCGACAAATTAACACAAATAGATCTTTCGGCGATTTGGGACGCTTAAGTCGTACTACGCCGAAGGAAGTTTTCGGCATTTTGATGTTGAATATAATTTCGCTAGATTAAGATTCGGCAGTTTAGGACAGAAATAACAATCCGGGTATTTGACACTTATAAATCCTAATGTGCCGAACTATTTTCAATAGAGTCCTAAACTCCCGAAATAAAGTTTAAATCGTCGCAAATTGCCGAAAGAATTCGGCACTATTGCATTCGGCAGTTTAGGACTTATTTGTCTTTCGGCTAGTTGGGATTCGGTGCTATAGGACCACACCCGGTCCCGGGTCCAGGTCTTACCATGAGACCAACGGTAAAAGCTTATTCCCTATATGGGAAATTCGCTAAAAACCACCAAAGCTATTGCGTTACCATAGACATTTTATGAAACTTCAAATGGCAATGAAATAAAAAAAATAAAAATGTCCTGAAAAAGAGAAAAAATTATTATAAAGTGCTCTTAAATTTTCACTCGTTTATGTTTTACTAGCTGTTTTATCTACAGTATTAGATAGTCTGCCTAAAAGTAGTATTAAATAACATGAAAACCTTTATTTTGTGACATAATGTTCTCTGTCACTGTCTCAACATGCTCTTGATTTGAAATTATTATTGTTGTCTCTACTTATAAATATTTTTTTGGTCTAAAAGATACTACATTTCAGTGGCGGATATAGAATACTAGCTGTACCCGCAGGCTTTGCCCCTTTTAACTTCATAATAACAATAAGTGAGCTCGTTCTCATGGCTCAATCACGTCCTGGTTGAAGTTCGTTCGCTACGCTCACTCACCTTTAGGTTGGAGCTCGTTCACTGCGCTCACTTGCCTACAGGTTAGCTCGTTCGCTACGCTAACCCGCCTCCAGGTTGAAGTTCGTTCGCCACGCTCACTCACCTTTTGGTTGCAAGCTGTTGTCGTGAATGTAAAAAAATAATAATGTTGCACCCTGTTGGTAGACCTATCTATAGGCTATATATAATTCCGTAAGTCAAATTTTTGTAAAGAAATTGCGAGTGACTGGATGGCCGTAGAAGGATGGGAGGGGTCTTATTTTAAAGGTCTTGACGTGAATTTTGAGGGAAAACTATTCATTTATCTTATTTTTTTACCATAAATTCGCAACAGAATAAAACAACATGGGGTTTAATTTGTTTACATCTTTTGAAATTAAAACAGCTGTGCCACAGATTTGAAAACAGTGATCAATACACGCATTTGGTTTACTTATAGCCAGTCAACTATGAAATGTATACTATAATAAAACTGAAATATTGAAGATTAGTCGGAAAAACGTCTGCATTCTTTGTTTATATTTAAATCATATACTCAAGTTTCATTTTTTCATGCTTTTACGTTATTGTCGTGTTAAAGGAATAAACGACATAGAATAAATATTCTGTATAAATAATCAAAGAGTCTAAATTAAATCTAACTTCTGTTTTGTTTTTATTTTTAAATCATATGTTCATGTTTATTTTAAATGTTTTCTTTATATTTCTACACATTTTAAGGTTAAGGTTGTGTAAATATATACAACTAAAATAACCTATAAATGTTATTGGTTCTAAAATGGTGTATTTGCATTCCTTCGTAAGTAATTTTTTTTAGTGCAGTGAATATACAACGTAGAGTAATCATATTCGATCATACTGTTATAAAATCACCAGGGATTCAAGATGTTTTGGTATGTAGGCTGCTGGATATATATTCTTTTCATTATAAGTACTGTAATTAATATGAACGCCAGGGGAATACCACAAAGGCGGGGAACTGTTCATAGGAATAACAGTGCGCGTAGGAGAGCAAGAGTAGATAATGACGAACTTAATCAAGATATGTTACAACCCCTTTTTAGGAGACCCATGGTAGACGAGAGAAATGTAAAGATCCATGATGCAGGATTACTGGACCAAGAGTGCATTCAATGTAGTGCTCTTCATTTTAGAGAAGAACTAACGAATAATCATTTTATGACATGTTGCCATTAACCTTCCTCAGTCAAAAACTAATGTAGAACTTAAAAGTTTGTTTGAAGAGAGCCCACAACTGTATAAATTCATTCGACAATGCAACAGTGCGATGGCTTTTGCTTATTTTTCAGCCAGTAAGAAAGATATTCCAGGAAAAGGACCATACTGTTTCAAAATTCAAGGACAGATTTATCATTCAATCTCAGATTTGCTGCCTCAACATGATGAAGGCCCCGTGTATGGCCAATTGTACATTATTGACACATCAACAGCAACAGAAATTCGTCAAAGGCGTCGAGAAAATAGTGACTTAAAACCTGAAATATTGTCAAAACTAGCTGATATTCTATTAGAAAATCCATTTGCACAAATTTACAAAAGAGCTTCGGAAGAAATGGTTGTACAAGGTGACAGTGAATTAGAACTTAGGTTTGTAGACAGGATAAATATGGATCGTCGTAGGTATAATAAGCCTACTGCAGATGAAATTGCAGGCGTCTTCAATTCATCTGAAGGCGAACCTCCAATGAATTTTTAAAATTCCAAACAGGGAAGCTTTTATTTATCCTCATTAACCACAAGACCAAAGCTACCTTAGTAAACCAGTATTTATTCACAAACAATGATATGTTTGCTGCCTTTTCATGTTAAACCACTGGAGTGATTCAAATTATTTATAGAAAATGACATCAACAAAAGCAAACAAAGAAGAACAACAAACTGGTTTTTACACAAAAGATATGGTGTAGGGATGCCTATTCTGACACATAGATAATGTTATTCTGAGTTTGTTTGAATACCGGTATTGCAAAAAGTTGTTTTACATTTGAGCTTTTTAGGGACTTATGTCCCTACAAGCCACTAGTTAACTCTTTAATGCTATTGAACATCACAGAATCAACTTGCTTAGTTGAATCAGCTGTTAAGATTCTTTAATTCCATTTAAATATGAGTACTCATAAGGTTAACATGGGAAACTCCAGAGCCACCGGGGCGGAGCCCGAAAGCCCGATCAGAATAAAAACTACATAGTTTTCCTATTTAATGCCCAAAGCATCGGTGTACCGAATTTCAGCCTCCTAGGTAAATGGAAAGTGGGAGAATTAGTGATGAGTGAGTCAGTGGGCTTTGCCTTTTATATATATAGATTTTTTGGAGGGGGGCCGAGATTAATTCAAGGTTTGGTTAAGTAAATTCAAGTTGACACACCATGATACTTTATTTAAATTTTGCGGTGGTAATTTGCGATAAATGTGACCTTTACTTTATCAAGATCGAACACTGTATCATTATATCGTTCTATTAAATCATGACCATTCAAGCCAATGGAATAAAATATCTCAATTACTAATTCAAAAAACATTGGTCAAGATTTAACAGTGTGTCATTCCATCTGTAAACACTTATCCAAACCTAAGGAGTCAAATACACGATTGTGATTATCATATTTGGAGGGGATCTCGAACAACATATATACAGTCTTCAAAAGCATATTTCTAAACCTAGTGACACTAAGATGTATTCAAAAGCTACTTACCGAACGTATCTTTGGATGTACTTGAACCACCTGCGCTCGATTCTTTCTTCCCCCCAGTTACTATAATCATAATAATATTTTTTTCCAATTTTGTTTCGCCAAAGTTTTATTGTGTATTTCCAATATGTCTTTTCATCCCAAAATAATCTTCTTAACCAAGAATAGTTCCGCTCAATCTAGAACAAGAGAGCATGTAACAAAATTACTTAGATTACCAGCAAGTGATGAGATAAATCCCCTAGGGTTAATAAAGGAGCCGTTGCATACACATATTCCTTACAAACACAATCTTCACAGCCCCAGGAATGTTGAGGATAATAAAAAAACAAGTTGGTATTCAAGATGGAAGGCCTTATGAGCTTTTGGTCTCAAACCAGCGGTCGTTTGTTGGAAAAAGAGAATTGTAATATCCTACAGTACTACATTTTCAACTTAAATATGACCCATGAGGTAAACATGTTCATATAGATGTTAAAACTTTTCCTTTTGTAATGTATACATAAGATGTTGTTTCAAAATATACTCAATGCAAGGTGTACCTTGGGATTAAATGTACTTTCTAAAAACTACTGGAAAATACAAAAAGCCAATGTACTTTCTTTAGGTGACAAGTTTCATACCAATGTTTCATGTTGCCTACACATTTCTAATATATTCACTTTCAAAACAAATCAAAATATCCTTTATTCATTTCAGTACAATTGTACAGGAATAGAGTCAGATCTTACAAAATAAAATGTTTTACATGGAACTAAAAATAAAACAAGTACAGTATTTAATATTTATTTTATTTGTCCTCCCAAAACTCTTCAAGATAATAAGGGGCAAGTTTAATCAAATACTGTTTTAGAAATTTTTTTAACTTTTTTGTATCATTTTCAGTTAGAAGTGTTTTTGGTAGATGGAACATAAATGTATTTCCTGTAAATTTTGTTTTCTTTTTAATAAAATTCAAGATTGTGTCTATAATTTTTAGTTTGAGAACGAGTGTTATAATTATGTCTAATTTTGTTTAATACCTGAGTTTTTGTAATATTGTACTTTGCTCCTGCTACTGTACTGTACCAGCATGCTGAATCCTACATACAAAAATTCACAATAAAGTAAACTTCCACCTAAGATTTATTTGACTTTATTAACTTAATGATAAACTCACAACTATTTCATTGAGTTTCAAAAATATTTCCACTCCCAATCGAGCATCAGTTGCAGCATAGCGGATGAGTGCATCATTTAATTCGTCCGATTCCCAAGGCTTCTTGGATTTTTTTGGAATATCTAATTTCTCCTTGCCAAGAACCTTTTGAGCCAAATAATTTAGACCTCTAGGTTCAATGAAAGCAAGTTCTGCCAAAAATCTCAAGTCTAGACAACTTTTGCAGATTATACCGTAGCTATCCAACAAATATGTTGCATCCTCAATCACTCCTACTCCAACTTTGAGAATATTTTTGTCCTCCAATATTTCCTGAAACAACAAATAGCAATCATAACATGGTAAAAATCATAATATTGATCCAAAGTAATGATAATGACCTCTTTCCAAACATAATAAGTATCCTAGTGTAGAGTGTATACACTAGCATGGCAAGGCGTCTAAAGAAAGGTGTGTGAATCACGAGGCATAAACTCATCCATCACGCGCAGCTATATCACGTCGCTCACAAAAACTGCTTGCTGAACGTGTTTTTTTTTAGTTTATGAAAGTCATATGTTTTATTATCTTCATGTTATTTACTAAAGTAATTTCAAATGTTATTCATTGTCTCTTAAGGCGCGTTTACATTAATTCAAGCTCACATTCCTCCTCGAATTAGTGTCAACGACAAAATTTACTCGCATGTGGAATACGAGCACGAATAATGTATGTTAAATTTCTTTGTTTTATTAAATTTAATTTTTTCTCACTGACCACCAAATGACCTTGAATAATTTCACTCCATTTGGTGCCGAGACGTTTGAGAAGATGGCTGAGGATGATTCCAGTGCGTTGTTCATTGAACAGTTCATCAAAACACGCGATGGTCGTCCTAAAATAAATATAAAACCACCTTTCGTCTTTCTTTGGATCCGGCATAAGGGTATGGTACTCGCAAAATAAATGTCCATTTAGATTGATTTCATGAACCTAAACAGATCGCCGTCTTGCAGCTTCATCTTATCTTCAGCTGTTGCTAGCAAAGCAAAGCTTCTTCTTCTTGTACATTACGATTCATGACATGAACGCATAAAATACAAACATTCACTTAACACAACCGAAAACTCTGTAGCTAAGATGGAAATGAACTGGAACTGAGGAGTCGTCCCGCTTCCCGCTGCCTGCAGCTTTGGTGTGGGCTACCTCTTTCCCGCCACGTATCGCTGCCGCTGGTTCCCGCCGGTCATTCGCCCCCTTCCTGCTCCCGCCACTTTCCCGCTTCGGTGGACGAGCCTTTAGAGAACCCTTAGGAAGTATAGAACTGAAGTTGTCTATAAGAATAGACAATATATTTATTAAGATAGTCATGTAAAATTATTCTTTGTTAGATTAGTTAGTTTTTTTATAGCGATTGAGTTGAATAAATTATTTGATTAAAAACCCCAAGAAAAAATACTCACAAAGAATTTTAGACATTACTGATAAAAAGTCTGCTATGTTACGATCTTTTTACTTTTTACTTTAATTCTTTGTGTAGGCTGGATTTACTCTTGAGTTTTTTTATTTAGGTCTTTTACTCTTATTCAAGTCTGGATTACAATCCAAGGAAAAGCTTGTCGTAATCTACTTCTTCTTTCAAAGTGATTGGGCGCTTTTAAAAATAATATCTGTGTCCTTTTGACAAATTGTTTTCAAATGAGTGGAAAAAATGTATTTTCCTCAATTTAACAAAATTATTTAGAATAGTCACCAGTTGCGTAGCTCTCTATGGTTCCAAGGTAAGAATCTGTTTCTCAATCTGACAATCTCTTGTACAATCTTTCCTGTTGAATACTTCACCCCTTCTTGTGATAGGCTTATCGTAGTTATTTTTGTTTCCAAATACATTGACCATTTTTTATTGTTTCTGGGTACAACAGTCAACTTATTTTCCGCCTTTCCTTAATTTGTACAATATTGGGATCTACAGTAATGGTTCTGTCTTCTTCCAGTGGAATTGTTATAATTTAATAAGTTAATAACCAGTTCTAGAATTCAAATTTTCATACAGAAGTGATATGTTGGAAATTATACAAATCCTTTTTGAAGGCTAAGAGGGTTAACGGTTTTCCTTTATACTTAAATATGTACCTTATCCACTGGTACTTTGTCTGTAAGTAGCCTAGCAATGTTTTGCAGTGATTTATTTCCATATTTGTTACCAAATAAAGTGAACAAATAGTAACTTAAACAAAACCAATTTTGAGATATTATAATTTGAGTCTTAGCAAACTACTTACTTTCTGTTTTTGTGGGTGGGATTTCCAATCCAAAACTGTTAATTGTGTAAGCTAATAAAGTTCGCACTCATAAAAAAGTTCATAGACTATTGGATATTGAGGTTATATAAACAGTCAAAGCTTAGACAATATAAAGTCTTTTACATTAGAAATTTATTTTGAAAGGAAATTTATCTTAAGACTTTCAATTTAGCCTACATTATTGGTACGTAGGCCCTATGTATAGCCTAATTAAGTTATTACGTTTTTATGGTAGAACCATTAGGTAATGTTTAGTTTTTTCCCCCTTTCAAAGTCTCTGACCTGTCTTTAATTAAAAATTGTTTTTCGTTGTTACCATACAAATACTACTTGTCTGTTAAATAATTCACTGTTGTCTTTGCATTTAACTATATGTTTGTCCTTGCTCTCTAGTCAATTTGATTTTATATTAGTCTATATATTTATATTTCTCAGTTGTTATTGGTTGTTAGCTTGTGGGTTTGTTGTTATTGTTTCATATTAATTATTTATTTTTGTTGTTTTAAATTATTTATTTATTAGTATACTTTTTGTTATTTTGTCAGTTTTTGTTTTGTTTGGCTAGGTTTGTCATTGTTATTGTTGTTTGTTATTAGATCATTATTATATTGTTGATTTTAATTATTTCTAGTCTATAAGCACAAAATTTGTTATTATCAACTAAGCCATCCTGAGTTGTAATGTTTTGATTTGTATGGCTGTAAAATGGAGATGTCTGTTGGAAATAAATAAATAAATTAGGCTTGGTACTAATATCTTTCTTGTCATTACCTTAAAACCGATTGCGTCCCCTGATCAGTTTGTTGACAATGCTTTTAACTTTAACTACAGAATATGAATATAGGTACTTTATAGTACAGTATGGTGTATTTTATCAAATAAAATTGATTGTATGTTAAAATATGTGATTCCTTATTGGAGAACCTGACATTGATGGTAAAACAACTTACTCTAAGAATATTCTCACTTGGTAGCTTAAATGAACATGATTTTGGAGAATCTGTTAGGTAGGGAAGTAATATGGTATCTTTTTTAGCTTTCTGCATGACTTTGAGTTGGAAAATAGCACAGTAACCATTTGGATTTGCCAGTTGTAGAGTAGCAGGTATTGGACGGCCACCATTCACAGAAGTAGATGTCATTTCACAGTCTAATCCAAGCACTCTAAGTGTGTGAGGTTGCCTGTAACATGTACGTGAATATTTATAAATACTTTTAACCCTAGGCCTAATATTGAATTGAAAAAATGGGTGAAGTTACTATACTATAACTTAACATCCAGAACAATATATATATTTTCTTGTCCTCTTCTCATTGCAAAGCACGGGTAGACCTGAGTACAGCAGCTGGTTATAGACGAAGTTCAATAATAAAAAATATTGACTGCTGACCCATATTCGTTTTTATGGTATATGGTAGTAGCCTATCAGCCTATGGTATGTAGAGAACAAACAACTACGATCAAGGATCACTTGACGGGTAAAGGTAATTTAAACCTTATGTTGACCCATATTCAATATTTAAAATGTGATATTCAGGTTCTCTCTTGAACTAGCTTAACTTATAAGTTATAACTTAACACGTTCGCTACTGAGCGTCGCATATATGCGACGCCGCGGTCATTGTCACAGACCAAGGTATACATTTGAACCTTAGGGTCAATCCATTTCAAATCATCCAGCAAAAAAAGAAAATGACACCCATGTTCTCAGATTCTAATGATTTTTTTGTCATGTGTTCCTTTTGCTATTCTAATTATGAATACCAAATTTCATTTTGATATCTTAAATACTTTTTTAGTTATGAATTTTCAAAAATTGCTAAAAATAAGCGTTTTCCCGTTTCCGCCGATTATTGGGAGTACGACATTGTTTCGGTAAAAAAATCATTACTCAGTCAGTATTTATCATATCACAATGGGACTTTCACTAAAATGTTCAGAAAATCTTGTAGAATTAAGGAAAAATATGTTTATGGGGGTGGTCATTTTATGTTCCAGTCAGTAATCCATCCAACTTTAATTTTGGTCTAATCTTTAGCAAAAAACACGAAATTTTGAAAAATTTGTGAAAATTATAGGCACTATGTAAACCAAAGGTGTTTTATCATATTTATGTTCCTAAGGATATATACTAACAGGTTCTTAAAGAAAAACACTGGGATTTTCACTGCCTTTTAGTTTGTACCTCAATAAACAGAAAATTATAATTTTCATAAAAAAGGCAGAGTGCGGACAGTTAAACCTGTACTAAGAATCAATAGCTAACTTCAGAAAGTGTTATTAAAAAAATTATCAAGACACATTTATAATAAAGTAGAATTATAATTTTGAAAGGCAATAAAACTGAAGTTTAAAAGCACTGACCCAAATTGGTAGGCCTACAATGTCAAGCTTAGTACAAAAAAGACGCTTGAAAAAATATGTACAGTATTAAGAAAATATGACAACTTCTTACTACTAATCCTTAATGAATACAATTTTTGGAGATACTCAATCTGCTTTTTACATTAAGCACTTAATTTGGTACTTGGTTTTTTGTCAACATGTTTTGGCACTTTTTTTTAATTAAATCCATTTCTTTTTTCGGGAAATAATACATTTAGTCAGGTTGGGTAGCAGGAAAATATTTCAGTTCTGGCAGAGAGGCTGCAATTTTAGGTGGTTATAGTTTCTGAACCTAAAACTGTCCAGACCCCAATTTTTAAGGACCTCGGTCGTCCGTAATGACGTCTTTAAAATGGCGGCCGTAAGAGGATGCTGGGTCCCCATGAATTGGCTATAATGACCGAATGGCTTAATAGATTTTCATGAAATTTGGCACACAAGTGCTTGAATGTATTATCTCGGCCTGGGTTGAAAATGGTCAAGTTTCATCAAATCATTTCAAAATGGTGGCTGTTCAAAACTAAAAGAATTATGAGGAAAATAATTGTGAATTGTTTTATACAGGGTGAGTTTTAAATGATTCCCCCCCCTACTTTTTTATATATTTCTTAAGATATCAACTCCGAACCACGTCAGATCATTGTAGAGTAGCAAGTGCTTCATTTTGACTGGGTTTACATTTTTGGCCGCCATCTTGGATCCGCCATACGATGGCGGATACGAAGTTATTTTTTCAAATGTAAAGGTAGGGTTGTGACCCACCGTTTCAAACAAGACTTTTACGCTGAATACGATGCTGCAATTAATGAGAACTTTTTATAAATTAATTTTTAGTCCATTATAACATTGCACATTTACAAACTAAGGTCATATAAGTTTTTTGTTATCAAGCTTTCTTGATAAAATATTAAAATTATTTTGATTTAAAATGTCAATATTTTAAAAACCAAATATGACAATGAAAAACGGATTGCGGCATTGAATTCAGCATAAAAAAGTAGTTTAAAATGATGGGTCACAACACCACCTTCATATTTAAAATAATAATAAGGTCTGGGCGGTTTTAGATTCAGAAACTTGTATACTATAACAACCTAAAATTGCAGCCTCTCTGCCAGAACTGAAATATTTTCCTGCTACCCAACCTGACTAAATGTATTATTTCCCGAAAAAAGAAATGGATTTAATTGAAAAACATTGCCAAAACATGTTGACAAAAAACAAAAAACCAAGTACAAAATTAAGTGCTTAATGTAAAAAGCAAATTGAGTATCTCCAAAAATTGTATTCATTAAGGATTAGTGGTAAGAAGTTTTCATATTTTCTTAATACTGTACATATTTTTTCAAGCGTCTTTTTTGTACTAAGCTTGACATTGTAGGCCTACCAATTTGGGTCAGTGCTTTTAAACTTCAGTTTTATTGCCTTTCAAAATTATAATTCTACTTTATTATAAATGTGTCTTGATAATTTTTTTAATAACACTTTCTGAAGTAGCTATTGATTCTTAGTACAGGTTTAACTGTCCGCACTCTGCCTTTTTTATGAAAATTATAATTTTCTGTTTATTGAGGTACAAACTAAAAGGCAGTGAAAATCCCAGTGTTTTTCTTTAAGAACCTGTTAGTATATATCCTTAGGAACATAAATATGATAAAACACCTTTGGTTTACATAGTGCCTATAATTTTCACAAATTTTTCAAAATTTCGTGTTTTTTGCTAAAGATTAGACCAAAATTAAAGTTGGATGGATTACTGACTGGAACATAAAATGACCACCCCCATAAACATATTTTTCCTTAATTCTACAAGATTTTCTGAACATTTTAGTGAAAGTCCCATTGTGATATGATAAATACTGACTGAGTAATGATTTTTTTACCAAAACAATGTCGTACTCCCAATAATCGGCGGAAACGGGAAAACGCTCATTTTTAGCAATTTTTGAAAATTCATAACTAAAAAAGTATTCAAGATATCAAAATGAAATTTGGTATTCATAATTAGAATAGCAAAAGGAACACATGACAAAAAAATCATTAGAATCTGAGAACATGGGTGTCATGCCCTGGATGACTTGATATGGATTGACCCCTTACGCATAAGTTAGACCATCTGTCACTTGGTTAACAGTAGGCCTACACACAGACCAAGGACGAAAACCTGTAAAACAGTGATAATTTACATTGTAATACGCTGCAATCGTGTTTGTAAATAGTTCATTCTTGTTTTTTTGTATTTTTATAACCTTTTGTATTTGCCACGTCCGGTCTACAGCGAAGACAATAGTGAAGATTATCATACCGGTAGTTTTCTTGAAATAGACCAAACGTCGCATATATGCGACAGTTCATTTTTGTATGTGTTTTGAGGAGAAAGTAAGTAAACAAAACAGATTATTCAAGAACACTTTATAGGCCTAACTGAACAAATACGGTATACAAGCTACATAGGATAAGGGGTAGGCCTACAGTATCTTAACTGGGCTATGCTAATATTGATTAAAACTATCGAATTAAAAATATTTATTAATAATTGATATTTAAAATCTATTATAAAAAAACTATCATAACCTTAACCTAACCAACCAAACTTGCTGATGGTGAAAAAACCGCATGAAGGTTTACCAATCGAATCGATAGTTTCAATCAATATTAGCATAGCCCAGTTAAGAAACTGTACCCGGATAATGCAGCATACATACATAACTTACAGTCGCATACAGTGATGCAGAAAAGTAAAGAGCAGTTTTTTCAACTATCATTATGACGTCACCAATCATCATATCCACAGACCAAGCGACGCAGTCAGATATCTCTGTAGACCCGGGCAGGGAATATTGGTGTGAACCTGGCAATAACTCCAGCCATAAGTAGTGCGCACGCCCGAAAAAATCTATTGCTGGCCCTTTTGCGGCAAAATATGACCACGTAACATGAAACCGATGATGTCACCAGATAGAGGACACTTTAACGGACACGACAGTATCAATATCATGTACCTGGGGGATAAGAAAGGGGGGGTAAAATCAGCAATAAGTAATGGGCGCGCCCGAAAAAATCTATTGCCGGCCGTATTGCAGCGAAATACGACCGCGTAGGCTGCACTTTACTTGACGTCCTACACTCATTCGAATGAAAATATCGATCAATATATCGATTGCTTCATTCGATAGGCTATATCGTTTGGTTAGTTAGGTAAGGGTAACCTAACCTAACTAACCAAACGATATATCGAATGAAATAATCAAATGAAAATATCGAATCGAAAAAAACAATCGAATGAGTGTAGGACGTAAAGTAAAGTGCAGCCACCGCGTAACATGAAACCGATGATGTCACCAGATAGAGGACACTTTAACGGACCCGACAGTATCAATATCATGTAGGCCTACCTGGGGGATAAGAAAGGGGGGGGGGGTAAAGTCAGCAATAAGTAGGCCTAGAGCGCGCACCCGAAAAAATCTATTGCCGGCCGTTTTGCAGCAATACGACCGCGTAACATATTACCGATGATGTCACCAGATAGAGGACACATTAACGGACACGACAGTATCAATATCATGTAGGCCTACCTGGGGGATAACTACACTACATGATGACTTTACTTACCTCTGAAGGATCCTTGTAACAGCTCTACAACAGCCATAGAAATTTTTCACTAAATTATGTGTGGGCCTAAACGAATTAGATTTAGATTTAAATAAGTAACAATTATTGCAAACATGGTTATAGGTTAAGTATAAAAAATACACTAAACCACCAACTAAACCAGTGTTTAAAATATTCCACATATTTGAGATTGTATGCCACTCAATAAGTTACATGAACACTAGGCCTGGATAAAGTCAATTAATACAAAATATCTAAGTTGTCATAATGGTGCAGGTTTACGACCTTTACGACACCACATAACTTATTACTAAAACTTACAGTAGAACACAACAAAACCAAAACGAAAACAATAAACATAAACATAACATAACATAACATAACCTTAAATAATATCGTAAAAAATTAGACATAAGTTCAAACCGTTAGCGTGTGACTGTGAGGTTCTACTTCGCATTCTAGTTAGCACTTAGCAGGCTTTGGTTTTATATGTTTTATCTATGGTTTTATTTACCAAGCAGCCCATATGTATCCTCGATGTACACTAGCACCGCTGCCTTTGGTTATTTATAGATTAAAGCATAAGACACTTTCTTTAGTGTCTACTTCTTTAATCTATGTTAATACCAAATACCAACCAAAAGGAGTGTGTTTTATCTATCTATGTATGTTACCTTAAAACCTTTTTTCTCAGCTCGTGTGCATCGCAGGGAAAATCTACGCATACCGTTAGAAAGATATTTTTCTGTAGAAGTGCAGAAACCCTTTAAAAATTAAAATAGGCTCAAATATAAGTACAAAAATGAAGTTGAAATTTTTTATAAATTTAACATGTGCCTTATGGGTTGCCATGCTGGTGACGAAATAACAACTAAATACAAACACAAAATCAAAACAAATGGAAGAAATTCCAATCACATGTTTTATTTACAGCGTGGGGCGAAAATAGAGAATCCTGAACCTTTACATTCAATTCCCATGTTAAAGCTGTCACCAGTTTTTTTTTTATTAAATTAGTCGTAGTTGATGTGAGCCACCAACAGACTGCGTTGATTTAATGACTAAATTTCTGTCGAATGCACGTTGTGTTTTACCAATTTAAACTTTTTGAATCAGCTATAGCAACTGTATGATCCATCAACTTTGTCAGCAACAAAAATAAGGTAGAAAATAGAACTTAAGACACGCTTTTGGCGAATGTCTCACACAACTACATGTTTTTTAAATAAAAATGGTGACAGCTGACCGGTCCATATAGATATGAGATTTCTACTTCAGTATCCAATAGTCAATACGTATACATTACATGTTTTTGGTCGAGTTTTCGACCACTGGACGACTTCTAGTCTATGTTATTACACGGCCACCTAGGCCACAGCCTGGTAGAATTGGCAACGTCGCAAGTGGTGTTGTCTAGCGCCATACATCCCATAAGATAACATGGCAGATAGGTGACACCAGCTTATTATTTCGCGTATTGTTCATTAAAATTAAAATGTATAAACATAAATTTATTGAAAGATTGAAAATAAAACACATAGAAGTGAAAACCAAAACAATAAATTGAAATTAAATTTTTTTACTTTTAAAGTGGAGTCAATATTTTCATAGCCCAGCAACCAAGCTTTCGTGTTCTTAAAATACACAAATTAGGTACCATTAGCTGCATCCGAACAAATCAGCTGTTGAGTGAAAATTTTAAAACGTACGTTTTCATGTCCCTGGCCTTTTACTTCGTAGATACTGGATTTGTAGTTTATTATTATGTGTTTTAATATTTTTTGCGACGGGGGCAACATGTTACACACATTTATTTGGTTTTAAATAGGTTCTAGGTATTTTTTTAGTATTTTTAAAGTCTCGGAATTCACGACCATGACGTGTCCCTAGGGTACATTTTCCAACTTTCACGCTGTTTTTAGACTAATTATTCATGCCGAAATATATAAAGCCATATTTTTATGTCATCAATGGTTATTAAACTTACAAAAAAGGAGCATATTATAATTTTATTGTCATTGCAAACTGACTACCATGACAAAATAAGTCTGTCCCTCAATTTGGCGTCACGACCATTTGGGAAAAATTTTCAACTTTGGAGTATGACAGTGGCAAGCCTGGCGTCGATGGAGTCAGTTGGTTTTAGAGACTAGTTCAGGGTGTACGTCAGGATTGTAGTGCCGGTCGTTTCGAGTTGAAAGGAGGAATTACAAGATTAATAAAGGAAAGATTGTGTTTTTTATAATTTTGGTGTGTCCATGACCGTACGTAGTCATTCAATGAAGTAGACATGGTGTTAATTTTTGTTTATAAGATATTTCAATTGCTAGATTAACCTAGAAGTCTACTTTGTATCCTCGAACATGAGGTGCAGGGCTACCGCCAGAACAGAGCCAAATTACACGTAATTTCACGACCAAAGTTTCACGACCATCGCGGGTTTTTTCACGACCAATCCAGCCTTATGGATTATAGTGTGTTTGGTCGTCACAATAACTTTAATATAATTGTAAATTGAACAGTTTAGTTCAATTGAAACACATATTTTTATTATAACTAACAGTATAATTGAAGGATTGTTTAGAAATATTTAGATTATTTAAGAAAATTCACGACCGTACCGCTTGTCCCTGACCATCACGTTTACGATTTCTATCATAAAAATTTCAAAAATTAAAATATCGTCATATTTCAATGTTTTATACACAAAAGAAGCACACCTCTATACAAACATAACGATTTTTCGGGTCTCAGGTAGGTTTTTTCGGAGTTATACAAACTTAAAAAGATTTTATTGGCTTTTTTTCAATTTTTTGAGTTTTTTTATTTTTTCTAGGAAGACCAAATATACCAAAAGCTCAGTGACCTTTTTATTGTATAATGGTCATAAAAGTAAATTAGTTTATAGCAAAACATAGTTATAAAAATAATATTTACTATTTTTAATATTCATTTAAACGTCTGTTATGGTTGTGACAGGATTTTGTGTTTTTCCACTAAAGATGCTCTTTAAAAAAAAAACTACCAAAGATATTGCGTTACCATGGACACTTTATGAAACTTCAAATGTTAATAAAATAAAAAAAATAATAAAAGTTTTGAAAAAAGGGGAAAAAAATTTGCAAAGTGTTTTTCCTGAAAACGTGCGTTTTTAAATTTTCACTCTGTTACAACTCTACTTGCGATGTTGCCATTCATTCGAAGTTCAAAGGCCGCGCGGCCTATGGTGTTAATTGTGGCTGTGGGGTTTAATCTAAAATAATTAACGTCCCAAGTAGCACACATCCTTGGCCCAACGTTGGGAAATGGTCGGCACGGTTGGGAAATGGTTGGCAGAAATTTTAACGATTTGCCAACGTTGGCCCAACGGAAACTGGTATTCGTTGGCCCTTTAAAGGAAAGAATCGTTGAACCTTCGTTGGGTTTAAGTATAAAACATTCTAAAACGCATTTTAACGAATTGATTTATTTAAAAAGTACATAAATGTTATAGCAGCAGAATATAAGACAAATATTGCGTAAAAACTTGGATCTGTAATAAATGTAGTCAGACAATGTGATACTAGATACAGTGGGAAACACCTGCAATAATTATAATAATATATAATAATTATAATAATTTCATTTTTTATAATATTCTTTAACTTATTTGAGCAAATGTTTAATAGTTATAGGGGAAAGATAATTAATTATATATAGCAGTCAATTATAACAGTAGCCTACTAATCTATTGGTAATTAAATAATCTATATTCAAATACCAGTATCCTCTTCAACTACCAGAAAAACAATTCAACTACTTGAGGCCTAAACAGATTAACAGAATCATATTAAACTGTAGCATCAAAAATATTTTAAGTGTCGATGACCATTGCACCTGTCGGCTACTCTTTGAACACTTGAAAACACCCATAATCAACAAGCACAGTTAGCACAAAGCAAGGCGTGAGGCTCACAAGGCAAAGGAACCGGGTTCGAGACCCGTTCCGGCCTAATAATTTTATCTCTTTTTTTAAATTAGCTTTTATGAACTATTTAATCAATTTACTCAACTGATAATTATGATTTTCATTCTAAATCTTTATTATTTTGTGTTTTTTTTTAATGTTTAGGCCCAATATGGGATGGTTGGCCCTTCCGCAAAAATTTGTTGATTGGCCAACCGTAAGACTGAGTGCCAAAAACATACCGTTGGCCAACGATCGACAGAAACGTTGGGCCAACGATTTTTGCTACTGTACTTGGGGTACGGTACTTCTAGTATACATATAGGATTTTTAGGCTTAACGTTTGACTCGCAATTTGATGTTTACAATTAATTTCTAACCTTAAGTTGAGCTTTAGAATTTATAATAATTTGTCTACAAGATAGAGTTATTTTATAGGATTATGAGATTTATTAGAGACCACCCACATATATGTGGGTATAGCAAAAAGATATAGTGAAGAGTTTTTCGTATAACACGCCATCCCCCCTGTCTTAAACCCCCTTTTTTGTTTAAAAACTGCAACATTTTCCGGGGGGGGGCCGGTGCCCCCCTTTTCTGAGGGTCCCCCATACCCCCTGGTGTTTCCCCCCAAGGATTTGGTGAAATGACGCCACTGCAAGTGGTTAAAAAAAGCCAACAGCTATGCAAAGGTCTTAGTACTTTTTTACAATTTTTGATAATATGATTTGTTTAAGCAGTAATAGTTATTGTTTTGCTGGGAGCTGGAGGATACTGGTATTTGAATTTAGATGTGGAAAGCAAAAATGGACCTCTTGTCGGCGATGCAAAATTTTCAGTACGACCGATTTAAGTAACTAAGGTAGAAAATGTCGAAATTTGGTGTTTTTATCTATTGTTATATATGCCCCGTTTATCACAGAACAGGACATAATCGGTTAAAGTATCGAATTGAAGATTGTAAAAGATCGAAATAAATCAGCCTGTTAAGCCTCTGCACGGTCTGAGAAATGGTACCTCTTGTCGCTCAATATTATTTCTTCATACGACAAGCAGGTTCCATTTATAATATTCACTTTATAAACAGACTTATTAGTCCATAAAATGAATTGCCCTGCATTCTAAAGGATATTTAGAGAACTACAACAAAGTTCAGTTTACGGAGAACGAAATATCTTACTTGCGGTCCCGACAGAGATGCCTTATTTATCTTATGGAGAAATAACACAGGGCCAACAAGAGGCCCCTTTTCTGAAAAGTGGTTATTACGTCATGCTTCAATAAAACAGTTATTTAAAAGAAAACTATCATGAGTTAAGGCTAAACTGAGTTTTTCCTCCAAAGAGGACATT